GCCCTGGGGTGCACAAGTTTTTGTGCACCGGGCCTCTAGTATGATACATAATGTTAAGATGTAGAACATTATCACCACCCCAGAAGCTGGTATTATTGCTAATAGAGGTGATGCCCATTTGCAGTGCTTAACCCTTCCAGAAGGCAAACATTACTCTTATTTGTATCACCATGGATTAGTTTGTTTATTTTTGAACTTCAAAGAAATTCTATAGAATGTTCTCCTTTTTCTCTCTTAACATTATGAAGTTCATCCATGTTTTTGAACTACTAGCAATAGTTTGCTCCATTGCTGTATGGTATTCTACTGAATGAATATACCATAAATAGTTATTCTTACGTTAGTGAACAGTTTTGTCATTTCCAGATTGTAGCTATTATTGTTAATGCTGCTTATGAACATTTTTTACATGTTTCAATAAATGCTTAGAGGAATAAAATATGTCTTATCTGGAAACTGGAGAACAAACAGATATTTTACCTTATATGGGTAGAAGACAGTAAAGAAGTCAACTTTTCTAATTTGCTTCCCATTATAGTACTATTGTTATTACTCATCATAACAGTACTTATAGTGTCTAACATTTATTGAGGCCTTACTGTGTGCCTGGTAATAAACCAATCATTTGCATATCATTTAATCCTCACAACCGTTGCCTCAGATAATATCAATAACAAAAAGTCAACTAACAATCGATTAAAGACTGTAGACAGACATATTCTGCCGAATTGTGCCTTCTAATGTTTTCTCTCTGAAATATCTCTTTGTTTTTAAATACCCAAACTTTATAGAATCTACTTATCTCTCAGTACCACATTTAGCATATCTATTGTTTACAATATGTGTGGGAAAGTTTGTTACATTCCAAATATTATTGGTAGAATGTCAGAATCATATATAGACTTTGAAATTAAGTGTCAAAAGAGGGAGCACAGAACAGTTACTGCAGTCATATTCTGAGACATTCTCTGTCATTTTTCATTGTTTGTGGTATGTGGTATAACATGTAACTATGTAATGCCTGCAAAGCAACCCTTAAGAATAATTAAGAATTCTTTGATGATCTAGAAGTGATATTTTAAGCATATTATCTTCTAACAGTAATTTAATATTTATATCTGGGCATTTTACTATATTTTAGTTATGAAAAAATATCTTTATGACCTTTTGATGGGCAAAGAGTTCTTTAATTGGACAGAGAAGAAAAGCTATCTTAAAAGAAAAATTCAATAACCTGAACTGTGTTAAAATTAATAACTGTATTCATCAAAAAACATCATTAAGAGAGTGAAGTATCACAGACTATATATTTAATACACACACACCACATCCTGGGTTGTATATCCAATCTAATCTAAAAATATGTTAGTGGATTGAACAGACACTGCAGAAATTAGGATATCCACATGGCCAGTAACATGAAAAGATGTTGAACCTCACTAATCATCAGGGAAGTACAAATGATAACAAAAATGGGATACTTCTTCACATCCACCAGAATAGTGTAATGAAAATACTGATAAATCAGTGATGAGTATATGGAACCACACTGCTGGTAGGAAGGTATATATATATTTAACATTTCAGGAAACAGTTGGGTATTATTTGCTAAAGGTGGACACATACATATCTTTGATCCAACAGCAGAAATATGCACATGTGTGCATCTGACAACATGCAGGAATATACTGTAAATAGCAATATTTATACATACCCAAATTGAAAACATCAAATGTCTATCAACAATAAATGGATATATAAATAGTGGTATGTTCATATGATAGAATGCTGTGTATAATGAAAATGAGTGAATCACTGCTTCATAATTATATGGATGAATAGAATATAGAAATATAATATCAAATAAAAGTCAGACCTAAAAACAAAAGATAATATATGTATGATTTCATGCATATAAAGTTCATAAACAAGGTAATCCGGTAGAAAGTCGGGAACAAGGATACTTCAGGGGTGCTAGTAATGATCATTTCTTGATCTGGTTTGAGGTTAAATGATTGCATTTATTGTGTGAAAATCAGAGCTGTACACTTATGACATATGTGCCTCACTTTATATAGCTAATTTCAATGAAGCTATTTAAATCAAACTTATAGAGAAAAATTAAAGAAATGCTCCATTCTGTTGCAACTTATTTTAATTGTAATTTGAGTTTCATAATAGTGTTTAGAAGTGCTGAATATTTTTATCTACTAATTTAGCACTTAAACAGATTTGTAAGCTTAGAGATATTAAAGGATGTGATGACATATCTTAAAGTTTAATTTATTGGCCAGCATTATTATTATTTTTTATTTTATTTATTTTTATTGATTTCAGAGAGGAAGGGAGAGAGAGAGAGAAATAGAAACATCAATGATGGGAATCATTGATCGGCTGCCTCCTGCACGCCCCCTACTGGGGATCGACACCGCAACCTGGGCATGTACTCTTGGCTGGAATCGAACCTGGGACCCTTCGGACCACAGGCCAGTGCTCTATCTGCAGAGCCAAACCAGCTAGGGCAACCAAGATTATTATTTTTGTTTTTGTTGTCAATCCTCACTTGAGGATATTTTTTCCATTGCTCTTGAGAGAGAGAGAGAGAGAGAGAGAGAGAGAGAGAGAGACATCAGTGTGAGATTGGTTGCTTCCTGCACATGCCCAACTAGGGCCAGGGATGGAACCTGCAACCCAGGTACGTGCCCTTGACCAGGAATCAAACCCACAACCCTTCAGAGCACAGGCCAGCGCTCTAACCATTGGGAAAACCTGACAGGGCCATTATTATATTTTGAAACAAATTAGAGCTAGAAAGTTTTGAAAAAGATACATCAATTTTTAAACTTATTTCTAACTATGTTCTAAAGTAAAACTAAGAGTTGTAATAAGGACCACATTTTAGAAACCTTTCCATTTATTTTGTTGCTTTTTTTATTGGATAATAACAACAACAAAATAAACGAGTGATTAATGTTTGTAAGGCTAGAATATTTACCTATAAAAAGTAAATGGAGCATTGATCTTGATATATTCCTGGTATTCTCTGCTTTTTGTTATTTATTACAGCATGAATCCAGAGAAACCTTATTGGGATTTAATATGGTGAACTACAGAGCATGCAAAAATTTGTGGAAAGCTTGTGTAGAACATCACACCTTCTTCCGTTTGGACAGACCCCTTCCACCTCAAAAGAATTTTTTTGCACATTATTTTACGTTAGGTTCAAAATTCCGGTACTGGTAAGTATTGCTTATGCATTAATGCTGCATTGCTAGATTTTTCCTCCCTTTAAATTAAAGGTATAGTTTATTGAACCATAGAATTGTTACTCATAGATACCTACAGAATCAAAATCTCCATAACTATATCAATAAAAAGTTCTGTAGGTTCTTGTGAGAAACTTGTTTCATTGACTTTATTTCATTTCATTAGTTCCTATAGTTAATGAATGATATTTAATTATTTATATTCTAGAAATGTTATAATTTCTACTGTTTTTATAAATATTTACAAGAAAACTTCTTTGTTCCAAGACACCTTTTATTTGTACGCTGTTTTCTGCATAAGCATACTAATACTTTGATTTTTTTATGTGTGAGTTCTCAAATCCTTTATTGTAAAGAGTTCAAAACAGCTGTTATACAAAATCAGATTTAATAACTGAAAAGTAGCCCTATGTTCTTTTCCTAATATTGTTGTATTTTTTATTTGTGATAGCTTTTATTTTTTTCCTGAAGGCAACAATCTTTGGGGGGTAGCTAATCAGATAAAAATAACAGCATTAGGCTTCATACAGGGTATTCTATTTAAAATGCGTGCCTTCCCCTCCCCCCCAAAATTCAGTAGCAACTCAAACAGAATTGTTGAAATTTTAACATTGTCCCATGCACCAAGAGGTCAGGGCACATGCTCAGGTTTCAGGCTCGATGCCCAATAGTGCAGGAGGCAACTGATCAATGTTTCTCTCT